AGCCACTGGGCTAGCTAGCAATAATAAGATTCATCCAGCTAGGTATATTTATACACCATAGGAAGGTTAGCATAGGCACCACTGATTTCATGAGTCATGTTGACAACTCGGGTCAACATGCTAGACCATTATGATATGGTCTTCGATGCTCCTGAAGACAGAACTTATCACAGGCAAAAACCTGTTTTAAGTTCGACAATGGGATTATTGCACACAAAATACGTGCACAAGAAATAACTGGGAAGGTGCGCAGATGGATATTTAACTTCCTAACTAATAGAACCCAAAGAGCAACAGTAAAATCAGGGGCTGCCACAGTAAAAAGTTGTCCCCATAGCCACGGTTCTCACCCCAGTGATATTTTTCATTTTCGTTTCTGACAAAGGTTGGGACGTAAATCATAGTGCTGTATCATCCATTACAGACGATACTAAAATCTGCATGAAAGTGGCATCCATTGAAGACACAACGAATCTCCAAACTGATATAAACCAAATCTTGCAGTAAGCCACAAACAATATGATGCTTATATTTTTCAGTTATTACGCCAAGAAAGAATGGAGGAAATAAAAACAAGATCGGAGTACTAGACAAACTCAAACCACTCAAAAAAAATTCAGATTCAGGAAGGATATATATATACTATATAGGAAAGCACTAGTTTGGTAACAGAGTTGTGGATGAGTGGAACAAGCTCCCGAGTACAGTTATAGAGGCTAAAACGTTGTGTAGTTTTAAAGATAGGTTAGATAAATACATGAGGGGGTGTGGGTGGGTGTGAGTTGGACCTGACTAGTTTGTGCTACTAGGTCAGATACCGTGCTCCTTCCTTAAGTGAATTTGACCTGACCTGATTAGGTTGGGGCATTGGCTAAAGCCGGTAGGAGACTTGGACCTGCCTCGCATGGGCCAGAAGGCCTACCGCAGTGTTCCTTCTTTCTTATATTCTTAAAAGAACATAAGTCAAATGTAAGAGACTTGGGAGTTATAATGTTAGATGTCATGTTCAAGGAGCACAAAAATATTACTATCGCAACAGCAGACTAATTACAGGTTAGATAACAAGAACCTTCTTAAAAGGAGATGCCAAGATAATGATGACACTCTTCGGGTCACTTGTTCGCTCTAGGCTGGAATACTGCTGCATACAAACTCCCTTCAAGGGGGAAAAATTGCTGAGCTGGAAAATGTTCAGAGAACCTTCACAACTTGCATACTCAGGGAAGCACCTACCTGGAGGGTATTCCGGGGATCTACGCCCCCGCGGCCCGGTCCACAACCAGGCCTCTTGGTGGATCAGTACCTGACCAACCAAGCTGTTACTACTGGCCACATGCAGTCCAACGTACGAATGACAGTTCAGCTGATTCGGCACCGACTTTTAAGTATCTGTCCAGCTCCCTGGAAGGCAGCCAGAGGTCTATTGGTAATTCCCCTTATTCATGATGGGAGGATGTTGAACAGTCTTGGGCCCCGGACACTTAGTGTTTTCTCTTAGTATACCTTACTATTGGGTAGCGCTAAACCTGTAGAGATTATATATTCTTAGTGTACCAATGGTGCCCCTACTTTTCACTGGGGTACGTTGCACCGCCTGCCCAGTCTTTTACTTTCGTAGGGAGTGATTTCTGTGTGCATTATTATTATAATCAAGGGGGAAGCGCTAAACCCAGAGGATTATACAGCGCCTGGGGGGGGATGTGGAAGGCATTCATGCTTAATTCGGGGAACTGGAGCACAAATCCAATTCCCTAAATCAAGAGCCCCTCACCAACATCAAGGAACCTTCCTTGAGGGGATTTCTGTGTCTAGATTCGGGACCATTCCTTCCAGAATTTTCCAAGTCTCGATTATGATATATCTCTCACCTAAATTATTTACTTTACTTTTTAGAACGCTGGCGAGGATACTTCACAACCTACACCTGGAGGATACTTCAGGGACTGGACCCCACCATGCACACCGAAATTATTGCTTTAAGAGACTTTAATGCTTAAAGGAGATTACCAACAACCCCCTAGGTGTCTTCAAGAGGGAACTCAACAGATTCCTAGAAATAATTCCTGATCAGCCGTTGAACTGCAGGCGGCGGGTACTAACAGCTTGATGGATCAGGCCAGCAACCATGAGACCTGGTTTGGGACCGGGCCGCGGAGGCGATGACCTCTGGATGCTACTCCGGGTAGAAATAAGACATTCCAGTAAACTGGAGTTATCTAACACATTTTCCCCCTGGATGCGACCCACAATAGTGGGCTACCACACCCCTGTTGCCCATGCCACCTAGCAACAGTGGTGCTAGGAAACTTGCCCAAACATAAGTGTCCGGGGCCCAAAACTGTTCAACAGCCTCCCATCAAGCATTAGGGGAATTGCCAATAAACCCCTGGCTGCCTTCAAGAGAAAGCTGGACAGATACCTAAAGTCAGTGCCGGATCAGCCGGGCTGTGGCTCGTACGTTGGACTGCGTGCGGCCAGCAGTAACAGCCTAGTTGATCAGGCCCTGATCCATCGGGAGGCCTGGTCATGGACCGGGCCGCGGGGGCGTTGATCCCCGGAATAACCTCCAGGTAACATTCCTCCCTACCTGAGAATCGAACACAGGACCTTGGGATTTTGAGTCGAATGCTTTCACCGGGGACCGAAGCGGCATCTATGGGCAGGGAAACTGATGGAGGAATGTTGGGGAGGGGAGACTGGGAGGGTGAAGGATAAGGATGGATGCTGGGGGAAAAAATGAGATGGGGAGGATGAATTGGTATGGGAAGAGGGGTCAGAAGTTGAGTGGGTGGAAAGGATGAGCATGAAAGTTGACGAGGTAAAACATAAGAGGGAAGAGAACAGGAAGGATAGAAGGGAAGGGAAGTAGATAGGACAGGGGAAGATAATAGGTAGGACAGGAGAAAAGATAGGGGTAGGATAGGGGAAGAAAAAGAGAATAGGTAGGAAAATGGGAGGGGAGCGAGAAGGAAGGATAGGGAGAGTAGACAGGATAGAAGGGAAAATAAGGAAGGATAAAAGAAAGTGAGTAGATAGGATAGAAGGGAAGAGTGAGGGAAGCAGAGAGTAGGCAGGATATAAGGAGTAGGCATATAGTGGAAGGGGAAAGAGTAGACAGGATAAGGGAGAGGGTAGACAGGATAAGGGAAAGGGAGAGAGTAGACAGGATAAGGGAAAGGGAGAGAGTAGACAGGATAGGGGAAGGGGAGACAGTAGACAGGATAGGGGAAGGGGAGAGAGTAGACAGTATAAGGGAAAGGGAGAGTAGACAGGATAAGGGAAAGGGAGAGAGTAGACAGGATAGGGGAAGGGGAGAGAGTAGACAGGATAGGGGAAGGAGAGAGAGTAGACAGGATAGGGGAAGGGGAGAGAGTAGACAGGATAGGGAGGGTAGATGGTGGGTGGATGCGGGTGAGGTGACCAGCCCTCCTCAACCAACTAGTTACCAGTTCGTTCTTTCTGCTTTCAACCTTAAAAGTCAAGTCAGCCAAGTTTCCCTTCACTTAAATTCCTGCGGCCATGACTAATACTCCCACAACAAACGGGAAGGTAACAAGAAACAAGTTTTACGTTAACTCTCAAATAACTCACACTGGGTTAACCTGAGTTAGATTTACACACTAATTATATATAAATGTATGACAACACTGCGACTATCCAAGGATTCGAACCCATGCTGCTGTGGCCCTCCTCATGGTGAGCGAAAATCCATGACCCTTTTACCCACAGGATCATGCAATCCTAGGATTGTATGGTCCTGTGGGTTAGAGTGTCATGAGTTTTCGCTCACCATGAGGCGGGTCAAAATACCATGGGTTCGAATCCTTGGCTAGTCGCAGTGTTATTTTTGATCAATACCACTTGTTAGTGGTCACAATAATTATATGTGAGTGTGTGTGTCTGTGTGTGGTTTCAGGGGTCGATTCACAGCTCCTGGCCCCTCCTCTTCCCTGATCGCTACTAGGTCCTCTCTCCCGGCTCCAAGAGCCTTATCGTATCTCCTCACGCCTCTACTACTGTGTGTGTGCGCCTGTGACACTGCTCTTTAGATCACTGATTTTCTTTTTACTGTTTTTGTAAAATATAAGTAAAAACAGAGTTTACAACACTGGTAGGTACTAGTGGTGAAGGAGCAACTGCTAGGATCCTGATATGTGGAAACATGGCGCAAGGTGGTGCAAGTTTAAGGAGACAAGAGAACTTGAAATTCCGTTCCCTGTGGCGAGGGCTGGAGGGAGGATAGGAGGGAAGGAAGCAGTGAGGGAGGGAGGGAGCTGTGAGGGAGGGAGGGAGGGAGCAGTTCTCTCAATGAGTTGCCCGCGGCCTGTCAAGCCCACACACACACACACACACACACACACACACACACACACACACTCACTCACACTCCTGGCTATATTATTATTATAATCAAGGGGAAGCGCTAAACCCATAGGATTATACAGCGCCTGGGGGGGATGTGGAAGGCATTCAGGCTTAATTCGGGGAACTGGAGTACAGATCTAATTCCCTAAATCAAGAGCCCCTCACCAACATCAAGGAACCTTCCTTGAGGGGCTCCTGGCTATAGACATGAAAGTGCCTTGGTGACGGTAACAAGCACTTCATCCAAGAAACTGAAACTATCATCCACTTCCCTGGATCGAACCTAATCACCTCCCATTCCTCCTAATAGTTTAGTGATTCCTTTAAAATATAATACCAAGAGGTGTAAGACGGAGGGAAGTCGAGGAAAGACAGCAGTAACTACTGGAAGTGCAACACTAGGGTACAATTATACACTCCAGAAGTACATTAGAAAACTCTTATTCAACCTGAGAACACTACGGGAGTTTAGCGAGTTAAATAATGACACAGTAGCAGATTCCAGACAGGGAATCAATTGTAAATACGGCAGCTTATTTACGTCAATCACTCGAATGTTCAAGAAACTGGCTCAAGTGTTAGCCTTCACTCCTCTCCCCTGTAAACTTAATTGGTAAATGGGTAACAAGACGCACCTTAGCAACCAGGACCCCGACACAGGGAGCGTCAATCGTTGCGTCCACCAGAGAGGTATATAGAGTGATGCAGTAGTGGTGGTGATGGTGTGATCACTGTGGCAGCAGCCTCACCACGCTCCCGGCGACATCAACACGCTTTTTCCTTCTTCAAACACCGAACACGCATCTAATACACCTTGTTTTCTCCGACTGGGTGCACTACTGGGTAGCAGTACCGAGCATAAAGTTCGACTTGGGACTTGTACGTTCATGAGTAGCAAAAAGAGTAACTGGCTGGAGTTGATCTTTGGTTGGGTTGGTATACGACCGCTCACCCGACCCGCCGTGTTTGTGCCGTTACTAATATATTTTTTACGATCTTCCCATTATCTGTGACGTCGCTAATAAAGTTTTGCCTTGATATGTGTTTTATTTATAATCCCATCTAAGAAGGCTTCACTAGAAAATCAATTTCACTACGTACATAACGCTAGACACTCAGACTATTCAACATGTGGCACCACTGTAGTTGGGAGACTGGGGGTAACGGAGGGGGTGGGGGGGGAAGCGCTGCCTCTAGGCGAGCTTCTTCAACAACTTTGTTTTGCTTGTATCGGAATGAAGACTCGACTGATAACCGCTATAAGTAAACATCACCACACCTTCCACCACTTTTCACCACAGAGTTGTCGAGTAACAGTATCCACGGCCTGTACATTAATCTGCACCAGCTGATATTATTTTTTATTAGATATTATCGTACTGAGGTAGTGGGCAGGGCGACTGGCAAGCCAGGGGTGAGGCTGGCTTGTCTCAGCTACATATGCACCACATTGTCAGCATCTAACACCAAGCCTCCACTAATATGCCTAACACCGCCTTACCAATAGAACTATGGGGTACTGCAGGAGGCCAAGCACCTCTTGTGACAACAATCACAGGGTGGTTTATCTTAAGTAATTTACACAAGGTTTTTTATGTATGATAATTGTACTTATGTGTACCTGTACCTAAATAAACTTAGTTACCTGTAATAACTATTGTTCGAGGTTTCAGCAGAATTATATAAATATAAACCCGAGATAAATCACACTAAACGACTGTCAGATCAATATACAGAAGAACAGACTTTAATAAATCATAATAAAGGGGATGTAAACAGCCTGCTAAAATTATCTAGCCAAGACAGGGCTCGCAGCAATGGTTTTCAGCTGGAAAAATTCAGATTCAGGAAGGATATAGGAAAGCACTGGTTTGATAATAGAGTTGTGGATGAGTGGAACTCCCCCCAGTACGCCATAGAAGCTAAAACGTTGTGTAGTTTAAAAAATAGGTTAGATAAATACATGAGTGGGTGTGAGTTGGACCCGACTAGCTTGTGTTGGTAGGTCTGATACCGTTCTCTTTCCTAGAATGGGTGTGACCTGACCTGGCTGGGTTGGATCGTTGGCTAGGGCCGGTGGGAGACTTGGACCTGCCTCACATGGGCCAGTAGGCCTGCTGCAGTGTTCCTTTTTTCCTGTGTTCTTATAGCACTGTATGATCCTTTGTTTTCTTTTTGATGATGATAATAATAATCATAATAATCCTTTGCAGACGATTCTAGAATTTATATGACAGTGTCATCCACAGGAGACACAGCGAGTCTCCAAGCTGGTATGAGTCAAGTCTCCCAGTTGGTCACTGAAAACAATATGTTCTTCAATGAAGAGAAATTTCAGTTATTACTCAATGTAGGAAGGTGGAAATAAAAGCAAGATCAGAGTACAAGAAAAACTCAAACTACTCAATAGAACGTAAGTCAAATGTGAAAGACCTGGGAGTGATAATGTCAGCAGATCTCACGTTCAAAGAGCACAATAATGTTATGATCCTAACTGCATGAAAATGATAGGTTGGATAACTAGAACCTTCAAAATAAGATATGCCAAGCCAATGATGATACCTTTCAGGTCATTCGCTCTCTCTCTCTCTCTCTCTCTCTCTCTCTCTCTCTCTCTCTCTCTCTCTCTCTCTCATTTTCTGTGTTTTTTTATCCTGTGACTTCATTTTAGAATTACTTTTTTATCCATATAATCTTGGTTCATGCTAGGCAGGATACTCATACATTTTTAAAGCAAGCCACTAAATTATACTGTATATTACATGACAATCTGTTCCACTAGAAAACCAAAACAAGTGCTTTCCCACATCATATACAATTTTAAATTTGTAATTTTTCTCGTTTATCGCCCTATCTTGGTTAGATATTACCTGGAGGTTATTCCGGGGATCAACGCCCCCGCGGCCCGGTCCACGACCAGGCCTCCCGATGGATCAGGGCCTGATCAACTAGGCTGTTACTGCTGGCCGCACGCAGTCCGACGTACGAGCCACAGCCCGGCTGATCCGGCACCGACTTTAGGTATCTGTCCAGCTCTCTCTTGAAGGCAGCCAGGGGTTTATTGGCAATTCCCCTAATGCTTGATGGGAGGCTGTTGAACAGTTTTGGGCCCTGGACACTTATGGTGTTTTCTCTTAGTGTACCAATGGCGCCCCTACTTTTTATTGGCGGCATTTTGCATCGCCTGCCCAGTCTTTTACTTTCGTAGGGAGTGATTTCTGTGTGCAGATTTGGGACCATTCCTTCCAAGATTTTCCAAGTGTAGATTATGATATATCTCTCCAACGAGTACAAGTCAAGTGCTTCCAAGCGTTCCCAGTAGTTAAGGTGCTTGACAGAACTTATACGTGCAGTAAAGGATCTCTGTACACTCTCTAGATCTGCGATTTCACCTGCTTTGTATGGAGATGTTAATGTACAGCAGTATTCCAGCCTAGAGAGAACAAGTGATTTGAAAAGGATCATCATGGGCTTGGCATCTCTCGTTTTGAAAGTTCTCATTATCCATCCTATCATTTTCTTTGCACGTGCAATCGTGGCACTGTTGTGATCCTTGAAAGTGAGATCCTCAGACATTACTACTCCCAGGTCCCTTACATTATTTTTCCGCTCTATTGTATGGCCGGAGTCAGTAGTATACTCTTTTCTAGTTATTATTCTCCTCCAGTTTTCCATAACGGAGTAGTTGGAATTTGTCCTCATTGAACATCATATTGTTTACCGTTGCCCACTGGAAAACTTTGTTTATATCTTCTTGGAGGTTAACTGCATCCTCAGCAGATGACAGCCTCATGCAGATCCTAGTATCATCCGCAAAGGATGATACGGTGCTGTGGTGTATATCTCTGTTTATGTTGATATGAGGATAAGGAATAAGATGGGGGCGAGTACTGTGCCTTGTGGAACAGAGCTCTTCACTATGGCAGCCTCCGATTTAACTCTGTTGACCACTACTCTTTGTGTTCGATTTGTTAGGAAGTTGAAGATCCATCTCCCCACTTTCCCAGTTATTCCTTTAGCACGTATTTTATGGGCTATTACGCCATGATCGCATTTGTCAAATGCTTTTGCAAAGTCTGTGTATATTACATCTGCATTCTGATTTCTCCAGTGCATCCAAGGCCTGTCATAGTGATCCAGTAGTTGTGAGAGGCAGGAGCGACCTGCCCTGAAACCCAGTGCCCTGGATTGTGCAGATTTTGGAATCCAGGTTGATTTGCAATCCTGCTCTAGCACTCTTTCAAGATTTTTATGATGTGGGATGTCAGAGCTATTGGTCTATAGTTCTTAGCTATGCTTTGCTGCCACCTTTATGGAGTGGGGCTTATATCCGTTGTTTTAAGTGACTGTGGAATTTCAACCCATGTCCAAGCTCCTCCTCATAGTGTACTTAGGGTACGCGAGGAGGGGTTTCTTGCAGTTCTTAAGAAACAGAGTTCCACGAGTCTGGGCCCGGGGCTGAGTGCATAGGCATGGTTGTCAATGGCTTTTTCGAAATCTATTGGATGTTAGGGTAATGTCGGAAATCTGGCATACATTTATGGAGTTTGAGGCTCATTCATGAAGAATCATTTGGGTCGTCGATCCTCAGACCGATTAGTGGTTCACTAAACACAGAGTCGTACTGGATTTCAATATTTCACTAATTTCCTTGTTGTCGTCTGTGTAAGTCCCATCCTGTCTGAGTAAGGGGCACGATACTAGATGTGGTATTTGCTTGTTTTTGGCATATGAAAAGAAATATTTTGAATTTTTTCAATTTCACTAATAGCTTTAAGCTCCTCCTGCCTCTCCTGGTTCCTGTAAGAGTCATTTAGCTTAAGTTCGATAGTTTCCACTTTCCTGGTCAGCGCCTCCCTTCGTGTATCAGATATCTAGCACTCTGAGGAGCTCAGTGACTTTCGCGTCTTCTGTAGAGGGAGCGTCTTTTTCTCTCCAGTTTACTCCTGCTCTTCTTCTTTCTTAGGGGAATATGCCTAGAATATGCTTCGGCTACCAGGCAGTTGATCCTTTCAAGGCATTGGTTGGGTCCATGTCATTTAAGACATCTTCCCAACATGTTTCGTTTAGGACATGGTTTACCTGGTCCCAGTTGATGTTCTTGTTGTTGAAATTGTATTTTGTGAAGACACCTTCACAGGTACATGGCATTCTGTTGTTCAGGACCCCTATGCATGTACGTCTGGACTTCGATTAGATTGTGATCGGAATTAGTTGTTTTTGATATTCTTATGTCTCTTATCAGGTCCTCATATTTGTGAAGATAAGGTCAAGTGTGTTTTCTAGTCTTGTTGGCTCCACTATCTGCTGGCTTAAGGTGTGTTTTCGCAGAGACTTAGTAGCTCATGTGTGTGTGACCTTTCATCTGCGCTAACCTCGGGGATTGTTTCAGCTATAAACATTATTTGCTACATTCTTCCATTTTGTATGCCTTAGGTTGAAATCACCAAGCAGTAAATGTTTGGGGATGGAGCTGGAAGGTTTTCCAAACAGTAATCGATTTTCAGTAGCTGTTCCTTGAACTGTTGGGAGGTTGCATCTGGTGGCTTGTATACAACCACAATGACTAGGTTTTGGTTCTCGATCTTTATTGATAGAACTTCAACTACTCATTTGTGGTGTTCAGCAACTCGTGCAGATAAGGGACTCTTTGACATACAGGCCAACCCCCCCTTGTTGCCTGTTTTTTTCTGTCGCATCTAAAAAGGTTGTAACCACTTATCCATATTTCACTGTCAAAGTGATCTTTGTGTGAGTCTCTGTGAAGGCTGCAAACATTGCATTAGATCCCACTAAAAGTCCACTGATAAAAGGTATTTTTGTTGTGGTGGATGGCTTAAGGCCCTGTATATTAGCAAATATGAACGAGGTTGTATTCTGTGTTTGTTGGGAGGATTTTGTTATTGGCATCAGTAGTTGTAATAATTCTGGAGGGCCATGGGTGGCCACTG